CTTCGGTTGGATTTTAATCGATACCGAAGGACTCGATCCTCAAAAGTAGTCGATACTTCCCAACACTAATCTATATATTCCCTGCTCTTTTATCTACAAATGGCAGGCACTGCGTATACGTGACATTTCAGCAGCATTCTGCTTTAAATATTACTTGAGTGCAATCAAATAAGAAAGGAATATAAGCGAAGTAAGCGCAACATTCAAACAATATAAAAAGTACCGAACCCATTACAAGAACCCATATACTGTTCGAAAATAGGCGCTCCACAACTAATATTTTCCAAGCGGTTACAATTTTTTTGTTATTTTCAAGAAATTTTTCTCCAAGCGGGCTTTCTCTAAAACTGGCCTTTTTCGCAAGTAAACAGTAGCCTAAATAAATAAAACGCTTTAATTATTATTCCAGGAAATATTCCTCAATGGCAGCTTTCTTGAAAATGTGCTAGTCTTTTTCGTTTATCATCATCAAATTTTGTCATTCATTTTCGAAACTAAATAAGTGGTGGGCGATTGCTAATTTGCTGCGCAAGTAAATATTTCAAGTGAAGAGCTGAGATAAAGGTAATTGAAGGACAGCAAAAGTGGGTGACAAAGAAAAGAAAATGCAGAAAATTAGGAAGAGTTTTAATTAAACGCTAGTGCTTTGTACTTCCGCTCAACTGTGCTTACCTTACGTTTTCATTGTTTGTTAAAATTTTTTGTTTGTTTTACACGCTTTCTCGGAAACTCGAAATCTTTTTTAATTCTAGTTTATTGCCATCTACTCATGCTTGTTTTCGGGCGCATTAAGTTTTTTTCTATCAATTACTGACGTTTTAGTGCAAAAATTTTCCATGGATATCAGATCTCTGTTCATCAGATCGGCGCAGAATATATTTCCGTGGGTTTGAAAATGCCTTAACTGAGGCTTAGTGTGTACCTTTAATTACGAAAATATTGTGAGTTCCAGAGCCTTCAAAATGAGCTTTCTTCTATGATTACCCGAAAGAAAGAGAAAACGTATTCAACATCGGCCGCCCTTTTCAGAAATAAATGCAAAAATATGTTTTCATCCAACTGCGTAGGTCTGTTTTATTTCCATGTAGGGAGTAGATGGTGGAAGTAGGGTGGAAAATCCGCCTCGACTAAGAGATTCCCTGCGGTCACTAGGCCTCTTCAGAATCGATAATACATATGTGATTGTGGGTACTCTGTAGATTCTAACATCAGTTTTAAAAACTCTAGCTCCTTTGTCAGTGTTGGTTTATTGTTTCTACGAGGTGTAAAGATGATATAATATGGTCACCTGAAATGCAAAAAGACGTAACAAACATCGTCACTGAAATGGAAAAAGGCGTTACTAATATTTTGCTTTTCTTAAAACGATGTGGGGAGTTGTAATTCGATGAAATCCATCATATCAAGCAAAAAATTAATTTTTGAATTTTTTATTAGTTACGACAAGATTTTTTATGTAATAAAACAAAATAAAAAAAACGGATTACATGATGACATATTTCTTTCTCCAAATACGTAAATGTAGTTACATACATATGCATTCATTCAGCGCGTGGCGCCTCGCGCATCCGCGGCCGGCTAGTATTTATTAAAAAGAAAAAATCAAAAAATATTTAGCCCATTTCCACCAAACACTTAACTGCAGTTAAGAGTTCAGATAAGTTACAATAGTTTTACCAATAGGTAAGCGGCAAGGTTTATTGCTTAAGTTTTCCTATTTTTCTGTCGTTTCTTTATTCTCTTTATAGATCTATGTGAAAGATGACAATTTTTTGTCAATATCTTAGGCTCGGACAAGTCCATCAAAGTTTAATTTGCTCAAAATTTAAAAATTAATGAATACATTAATTAATACATTTTTTTTAATAAACTGCAGGTAATAATATTAGTTCTACATAATTTGGTATATAGACCTTTCTTGCAGAGGATTTCAGTAAGCTAAGAACCCATTTTTTAGCACTTCAACTTTGATTGACTTGGGCTAGCCTAAGATATTGACAAAAAATTGTCATCTTTCACACAGATTATGTTTAGAGCATAACGAACCTTATTTTTGCTATTACCAACCAAAATTCGAAAAAAGCTGATTTTCGGCCCATGCTAATAAACATATATTTGAACATAATGTGGCTTACTCACTTGACAAAACACTTGTACTTTTACACAAAAAAAACTTTGAGTTCTAGATACATTTGTTTTAACTCGTAAATCGATGCACTTTCCAAAAACACGCACGCATTCAATAGTGGTTGATGCAAATTAATTGCTATAAAAAAATTTTACACTCATCAAGCCAAATCAAAAAAGCTGATTATAAAAAGAAAATACTCGCAACTACATTTGAGATGTTATCTTTTTCAAATAGAGTGCGAATTTTGTAAATTTTTCCAATTTCCCTTCGGATGCATGATGAAAGGGTTAAGTGTGGTGTACTTGGAACTAATTATGAATTTGTTGGTCGAAATTTGGAATTATCAAATACATCTTCATATATATTTCCTTCAAAATTTGTATGGGAAAAACGCACAACATCGGATGACTAAAATATACTACTTTTCACTGTTATATTTCCTTATTTGATGCATCAACATTTAAGCGAAAAAGAACCCAAAAAAAACATATTTAATTTTAAATACGCGCATACTTAATAAAAAACAAGAAACTTGTAAAACGGCTACCAATTTTATGTAGAAAGTATAAACTTTATAAAACAAGATAACATAATCTTGTATAGCATTTTTTTTTCAGTTAATATTTTATCATGCAGAAAGAGAACGCGACACATATTTATGTGAACCGAACCTTAGCCACTATGAATAAAGAAAATGCTATAAAATTGCAAACAAAAGCAGGGACATGTCAAACTTATGGGAAAATTTAAATTTGCAAAAAGTGTATGCCAAACCAAAGTACAGTTTGCCGCAACGATCGACAATAGCAGCTGCCAGCAATGACAAAAATTCATTTACATATTTATTTTGTGAAAAAAATTAAAGCTGCGCTAAAGTTTGTTGCGAAGTTCGGTAAGTAGAAGTTGAGCTAGAAGCAATACTGCGAAGAATTTATGAAAAACAAGAAAAACTAGGCAAAAGTTTTAAATGAATCGTTTCTACTTGATGACGTGCTTGCAATAATGAATGTTTAGAAAAAAGAGTTGAGTCAATTAAAAGGGGGGAAAAAGGAGCGACTGATTTTGTTCATAGCGAGAAAAATATATTTTCCAGTGATTGGCGGAGCGTTTCCTCCGATTTCATACATAAATGTTTTTCGTGTTCGTATCTCGTTGCTTCATGTCCAATAATAAGTTTGAGTTAAAGTTTTTTTTTTTAGTTTTATGAAAACTGTATTTTAATTGTCCTGAGAAAATATTAATCTCTTTTTATTTAAATATTTAATTACTAATAATAATAATAATAATAATAGATTGGCGCTTACAAATATGTTAGTGTTTGGCCAAGCTTTTCCTTAGATTTGTGGCGTGCACCTTGTTGTTGGCACACACATGGGGGCCTTCAGTTTTACGCCGACTCCGAACGGCGATTGTATTTTTATGAGTAGCTGTTTTTCATGGCAGAAATACACTCGGAGGTTTGCCATTGCCTGCCGAGGGACGACCGCTGTTAAGAAAAAACCTTTTTCTATATTTTTTTGCGATGTTGCTTTCACCAGGGCTTGAATCCAGGCGTTGCGGAGTGGAAGCGCGCACTGCTTACCACTACACCACAGCGGTGCTCCGTATATGGCGGGTAAAATTGTGACTACAGTCGTTATAGTCTTTTCAAAATCGAATTGCACGCTGTGCCCTAAAGTTCGGTTCCATAAGCCCAGCAGAGTTTAATCATGTTATTATAAAGCAACATTTTTTTTTTATCTAGACTTAATTCAGACTTGTGTCCTATAACCCAGGGGTTCGCAAACTTTTAAAATAATGGAACCCTTTCTAAATACTCACACAAATTAGTAAAAATCAAAGGCAATGCAATTTAAATATGCACAAAACCTTTTACTAAAAATTGTATATAAACTTTAAATTTTAATATGAAGAATAAAATTGTTTTACTGTTATTAAATATGGCTTTATAGTTCGACATTATGTCTGAAAGATGTATGTGCATTTCCAATTTCGACCTGAATTAATTTTTGTATAAGTGTAAGCGATATGTTGTGACAGAAGGCAGAAAAGTTAAGATAGCCATTTTAGCTCCTACATGGTATTCTATCCTAGCACTAACCCAAAACTCATTCAGGGACACAGACTAAAATGCGCGTTTCAATGTACTCGAAGTTCTCTGAAGATCTATGAATGCTTCATAAATGTATTTTGTACTTAATCGATACTAGTACTACCATCCGAAATATAATCTGACAAAGTTCTCAGGCGATTTACCAAGTACCCTGTTTTGACATTTCACATTTCATTTAGCAATTTATCGCGTTTTTTGTAGAAAGTTGTATAAAAGTGGGAAATATTCAATGCTATTTTTTCCACAGAGGTAATCCAGATACAAAATTTTATTTCAAAGGATGATAATGTGTCTTTCGCTAAAAATGCTGCTGTTTGTTTTTCCTGCAGAAATGCAGTAATTTCACTGATCTTTCCAATAGTGTTATAAGCCAGATATTCGAGTAATAATAATAATATTTTGAGGCTTACGCGCTAAGTGCTTGGCTAAGCGTCTACCAATTTGCGGTGTGCGTCTTGATAGACTTTCAACGGCTAATGGATTTTATGAGAAGCTGTTTCATGGCAGAAATATACTCGGAGGTTTGCCATTGCCTGCCGAGGGGCGACCGGTGTTAAGAAAAAAACGTATTTTCTAACTTTTTTGTGACATTGCTTTTACCAAGGCTTGAACCCAGTCCCTGAGGAATAGTAGCGCACACTGCCAACCGCTACACCACAGCGGCCGCCATTCATTTCCAGTGCTTAACTACCTTCATTGTTATTTATGAACATTGTTCTATATGAATGCAAATCTGTTTTGCTCTTTGGTGCTCACCATAATCATCATCATCCGACATCGCCATCGCCAGCAAGCGGTTAATAGTATTCTCGTTGGCTACTTTTTGTCTTTGCATCTCCGATGAATTAGATTTAGAGGCAACATCAACAACACCTCTGCATAGAACCGTCATAACATCTAAATCACACACCACGCCAACATTTACGAAATTTCCCTGACAATCGGGCAGTGTGCGGGAAATCATTTTGGCACCAAGAGCAGCTACACTCCCACCATCGCCACCACATCCTCCCCTATCTCTGTCGTCGGCCTGACCATGTGAACATGTAGCGCTGCCATTACCATTCATGTTGCCATTTACATTGTTGTGTCTACAACTGCTATCTGATGTTATTATTATTTTTTTTCACCATTTTCTGCCTGCTTCCCAGCTAGTCGAAAATTAGCTTGCTTTGCACCGCTCAGCGCGCTTGGGACATTTGACGTATACATACTTAATTTCCTGCTCACATTTCATACGAAAAATACTCGAATCATTGAATTTAACAGTATTCTAGTGAATTATTTCGACCTCAGGTGCCAACAGAAGGTGACTTAAAATATCGAATATTGATTTTTGATTTTCAACATTATTCAGTAAAACAAATGCATGAATATAAAAACAAGCACTTTGACTTAAACAAACGTAAGTAACGTATTTACGGTAGGGACCGTAAATAACGGTTACTTTTTCTCAATTGATAAACTTGGCCAGATACTTTTAAGTGGCAAATAAGTCTTTTCCTAGTAATAAACAAACCGCTTATCCAAATTAAACAAGCTGGGTGTCAACTGAAAGTGGACTAATGTAGCTTCAAAACTGAAATGTTTAAACGGTTTGTTTACTACGCGAAAATACTTTTATTTCGGACATAAAAAATATCTGGCCAATTTTAATTGTTGAAAAAAAAAATAACTGCCATTTACGGTCCCTGATTTACGCACATTTTCTTCCAACTACCTGCAGAAGAGCCGCGTAGCTAAGCAAGCTGATACGCACATTCTCAACCTTTCACTGCATTTTCCTTTTATACTCAACACATTATGACCGTTTTGCAGCGTATTTTAATTTTTTGCCGAAGATAAGAAAACAAAATTTATGAAGTTTTAAATTTTGTAGGGCCTACACTTGTTCAGTCTAGCCTAGCCATTGCAAGGGTTAAATATACACAACACTACTTATACCTTAAATTTTATTACTTCGAAAATGTGTTACGTCTGGGGCCCTATCTTATCTGCTCTATATACTCGTATATATGTATAAATGAAATGTCTTTCGCATGACCAATCGGCTAAACCGATTTCAATTCTGTAAAAAGCGATTTTTTTAAACCTCTGTGTGGAACGTTTTTCGATAAAAAAAATTCAAAACTTTTTGATGTTGTTGCCAAGAAATGAAGAAATCTGAGACGTTACGCTTTCACAATATCATAGAGTTTTCCGTATATTGTATGTCGCTAAACTACTAAACGGCTGGACCGATATGGTTTTTATTTTGCAACATTGTTAGCATCCGCAAAGGAATTATTTTGACAAAAAATTTAATCCCTAGGCGGCGCTGTTGTCGGCATATTCCTAAAAACTGCATTTAGTTGTAGATTTTGCCCATACTTAGAACATATGGGCGCCAATTGAAAATAAATATTTAGACTAAAAACTAACTAGGTTGGTGCCCTTTTAGCGGAGATATTTCTTAAATTCTTACACTCTGGAATAATATATATAACATATATGTATACATAAATATGCCACAATAAAATGCTGACAGCCTTTTTTTGAGAGCGATAATACATCTCTAAAACCGATTGCGCTGAGAAACTGAAACTTGACACGGATGCATTAATTGTAAATACGCCACTTGTGGCGAAAAGAGATATCTATGTAATGGAAAAGGGGAGTGGCACTTCCCATACATACTGAAATTCTCATATCGCTTATCCCTCAAATCGCTTAAGCTAACATCCCGAAATTTACCACAGCTATATATGTTAGCAATAACGTACTTGCGACGGAAAATGGCAGGTATTGGAAAAGGAGCGTTGCATCTCCCATACAAACTAAATTCTCATTCGCTTATCCCTGGAACCACTTATGCTAAGTCCTGACATTCGACACAGCTACATATCGACACCTGAAAGAAAGATCGACCTATCTCGGCAACCAGTTCGAAATCGCCCTATCTCAGAAAGCTTTCCGAAAAAAAGCACTGCGTCAGAATTTGATTGAAAAACATCCTATCAAATAATTTTTGTTCAAAAACGCCCTATCTCAGCGGAAAATACATTGAAAATGTGGGAGTGAAACCTTCAGTTTGTCTATAACGCCTTCATACCGGACTTTGTCAAAAGATCGAGAGATGTCCAAAAATACACCGGTACAGAATGGCTTCCCTTTGAAGGCTTTTCTAATACAAGAAACAATGCTATGAATTTGTTATTTAGTGCCATGCTTTTGATGAAAGCTGAGGTACTGTTTGGTAACATGTGAGTGAAGATTGTATTTTTTTCAATCGATAGAATGCTTTTTACCAATTTGACAATGCGTTTTCTTTTATTTGACGACATATGCTATTGAATTTGACATAGTGGAAATATGAATATGATAGAAAAATTATAATTTGAAATATTTGCATCAAAGTTTCTTCAAAATGCTTTTAATTTGCAAGACAATAAGAATTCGTAATAATAATTGGTAATAGAAACTTCAAAAATTCCGTCATATCTTTAACGATAATTCCTTTCAAGGTATCGTTAAAACATACGAGCTAATAATAATTAATTTTATTAAACCATTCATATCACACATAACTTTCAACGAAATAAATACTGTAAAGGAAAATCTGCCTGAGTCATGCACAGCGTCATGTGCATATGTACATATGAAAGTATAGAGTCGTAGTATATATATGTATATAAACACGTTTATTTGTATTTGTGTAGATTTTATCCTTTACCTACATATTTACACAACTGCTGCATGGACGAGTTGCTATTGCACTACTGTTAGTGTTGCCAGATTTTTTTCCAGCATAATTTGTCTTAAAAATACGGGATTTCCAAAAAAATGTGAAATACACTTAGGTCTCTTTTTATGCGGTTCTTTGTTATGCGGATTTGAATTTATGTGGTTTTGCAAACCCTTTTTTCGCTGTAGCGATTTTGCTTTTTTGAGAGTTATTATTACTTTTTTTTAATGTGTAAGAGGCAATGCTGCTGATATATAATTTATCTTTATATTCTTATATAATTCATGTATTTTTTTTTTGTTTTTGGTTAAAATTCAGATACAATTTTATTTAATTCATTAATGTTCACTTTTACATGGAATAATAAGTGTTGAAGTGAAGAAATAAAATGTTTTTTTTTGCTTAATATTGCCTCTCTGGATTTTGTTTTGTGGATTTTTAGAATTTTTTACATGGAGTATCTGAATTTATGCGGTTTTTGAAAATACTGGAACGCATCCCCTGTTTTTGCATGAAATTAAAAAACTTTTTTGTGCGGAATTTTTTTTTTGCTTTTGGCCACTTATCTTTATTTATTTATTGTTAACAATTTTCATTTAAAATATGGGACCATCTATATCAGATACCACATAAATAAAAGTTTCAAAGCTTGCAAAAAGTTCACAAAAATTAATTAAACTTACACAAATTTTCATACAAATTTCGATATTTTTAATTATATTTCCTAGAAAGATTTCGAGTATGCGGTTTTGTAGCCCATTCAGTTTCAGTATAATGATGTAAAAAAAGTGTAAAGTTTCAAGTCGTTCAGAATTACATTTTCTTCCATATAAAAGTCTGTTTTGTTCATGGATTATATGGAAGAAAATTCGCAACACCCTCCACAAAAAAAAAAAAAAATCTCAAAAGCAACGGTAATTTTTAGCTATATTTCTCTTACAGATTTGCATGCAATAATGTTTGCTCATGACGTAGCCCCGATAAACCATTACCATGTTGAGTAGAAGTTTATAAATGGAAAGAATAATAAAAGTGTCGAAAATACGGGAAAAATCTTGTCCCGGCGGAACATTTCAAATACAATGCAAAATACGGGACGTCCCAGCAAATACGGGACACTTGGCAACACTAGTATTTATATATGTACATACGACAGTTGCTGCGTTTTGAAAGCAATTTCAGTAGAGATTTCAAGTGTGCTTCACTGCTTTTTATGAATCGAATATGCTCTCATAAATACATACTTATGTATACCTTTGTACACACATGTGTAAAACATGTTGGCCTTTTCATCGTTCGGCGTTCCAATGTTGGTAACTGTTGCTTTCCAAATGAATATACTGTTGCTTTCCAAATGAATATACGGCACATATACATATGTATGTATAGGTAGATAGGTATCTAGAAATGTGTGCTATGCACGTATGCTTAGAGAAGACTCTACCATAATAGCACTATGGATTACTTAACTAATTAGAGACATTGTTATTGAATTGAAAGTAAATACCTCAGAAATGCATGAAATGCAATCGAAATGCTTAGAGGTAAATTAGATGTTAATTGAAAATTACACAACAGACTTAGGTCTACCTTAAAGGAATTTAAGAGGAAACAACTGTGTTTATTGAGAATGTGGTAAAAACATACGCACATATGTGAGAATGGTATACTAATTAAGTCAATACATATACATACAAACCTGTTAAGTGCACGTGATAGGAAACTAATTATATAATGGCATTACCTTTATAGAATTCGTGAAGTTATTAATTAGCACCGATTTTGATAGACACTTAGGTACTGAAAGATACTCGTTTGCTCAAAGAACGTCATAATATAAAAAACTAAAAAGCTTGGTATCCCCCCGAAAATAGTTCGACTGCAAATAGACCTCCAGAAATACTATAATCTCCGTCACAGTTTTGAAGGACGTCTCTTAGCCGTTGGACACCAAAAGAGCTTTCATACTGGTCTATGCTAGAGAAGATAATACGTGCTACGAGACTACTATACTATACATTACAATAATGTATGATATCAACTTCTAGATCTAGAATTGAAAGAGAACAAGACGAAGTATGTCCAGTTAAACGGCCAGGATAATCGCACATGGGCACTTACTACGCCACTGTCGGTAATTATAATTTAAAAAATGTAAGCGACTCAACATGCCTGTGTTGGTATAGAATGCAGAAGAACAGACAATACAACATTCGACTAGGTAGGCCTTGAATCATTCATAGAAAGATTCTGCGGAAAATGCATGGACCCTTGCACGTAAGCAAGTAGCACGGACTATGTAACGATTAGCAACTACTTCAGCGTTCAAAGTATCAAATGTTGGG